CCAAGTTCGCAAGAGCACTTTTACACCCGAGTGTTAAGGTTTTGTGACACTTTTACGATTCGAGATATATTGCCTGGCAATATTTTAAAATTAAAGCCATTTGGAAAATTTTGTTGAGTAGATAGAGCTCCCATAAAAATTGTCAGGAATTGGGGGGTTCCCCCCAGAACAAGACTTTGCTGGATGGGATAGATCTCTGGGAAAACAGTAACTAGTAGGGAAAATTTTGCTGAATATATGTTTCTAGTAAAAATAATTATATTTTTCTTAAGAAAAATTTAAATGCCAAGAAAATTTATAGTAAAAAAATAGAGAAGAGAAGAAAAGAGAAAAAGTGTTTATGTTGTCAAAAATAAACAATGTTTTTTATTAACAAAAATTGCAGATATTTTTTCATGGTAGATATTAAATATACAAATTTCTTTTGTTCAGAGACTCACCCTGAAATTTGATCTAGAATATTTTTTCATTTGACATTTTCCCCAAAAAATTAAGTTTAAACGGAGATTTGGACTTGGATTGGAAAGGGGTTCAATTATCATGTGAAAAGAGCAAACACATAATTTTCACCTGTTGTGCATACATTTCCAATGTAATTATCGTAAAAACTATAGCCCCTAGATATATGGTTTATTCTGAGATTTATAATAGAATTTTGTGTGGAATATTTCTTCTTTTAACATTTTTTCCAAAAAATGAAGTTTAAAGGGAGTTTTGGACTTGGATTGGAAAGGTGTTCAATTATCATGTGAAAAAAGCAGACACGTAATTTTAACTTGTAGTTCATATATTTCCAATGTAATTATCTTTAAAACTATAGCCCCTAGATATATGGTTTATTCTGAGATTCATAATAAAATTTTGTGTAGAATATTTTTTCCTTTGACATTTTCCCCAAAGAATGAAGTTTAAAGGGAGTTTTTGACTTGGATTGGAAAGGTGTTCAATTATCATGTGAAAAAAGCAAACACATAATTTTCACCTGTTGTGCATACATTTCCAATGTAATTATCGTAAAAACTATAGCCCCTAGATATATGGTTTATTCTGAGATTTATAGTCAAATTTTGTGCAGAATAATTCTCCCTTTGATATTTTTCCCCAAAAATGAAGTTTGAAGGGAGTTTGTGGCTTGGTTTGGAAAGGTGTTCAACTATCATGTGAAAAGAGCAAACACATAATTTTCACCTGTTGTGCATACATTTCCAATGTAATTATCGTAAAAACTATAGCCCCTAGATATAAGGTTTATCCCGAGATTCATAATGAAATTTTGTGTGGAATATTTCTTCTTTTGACACTTTTTCCAAAAAATGAAATTTAAAGGGAGTTTTTGACTTAGATTTAAAACGTGTTAAATTTTCTTGTGGTGGCAGACACATAATTTTAACTTGTAGTTCGTATATTTTCAATATAATTATCTCAAAAACTATAGCCCCTAGATATATGGTTTATTCTGAGATTCATAATGAAATTTTGTGTAGAATATTTCTTCTCTTGATACTCTTCCCAAAAAATGAAGTAAAATGGGAGATTTTGACTTAGATTTAAAATGTGTTAAATTTTTTTGTGAGGGCAGACACATAATTTTAACTTGTAGTCCATATATTTTCAATGTAATTATCTTTAAAACTATAGCCGCTAGATATATGGTTTATTCTGAGATCCATAATGAAATTTTGTGTAGAATATTTCTTCTTTTGACATTTTTTCCAAAAAATGAAGTACAATGGGAGATTTTGACTTAGATTTAAAACGTGTTAAATTTTCTTGTGGGGCAGACACATAATTTTAATTTGTAGTTCGTATATTTTCAATGTAATTATCTTAAAAACTATAGCCGCTAGATATATGGTTTATTCTGAGATTTCGAGTGAAATGTTGTGTAGAACATTTCCTCTTTTGGCTGTTTCAAGCTAAAACTAAATTTTGTGTTACTTTCAGGCTCTAAGTCAAAAAGAGTCCGAGGTAAAATGGTCCAAAAAATTTAACAAATATTTTCGGGATTTTTTGGGCAATATTGATGCTAATATTTGAAGCTACGAAGTGGGAATAGAGATTTCTTTTCTTAAGTGACTTATAGTGAAATTTGATGCAGAATATTTTTGTCTTTAATGCCTTTCACCTAAACTTACATTATATGATACCTTCAGGACTCAATTCAAAAAAGTCCGAGGAAAAATGTTCGAAAAAAATGTAAGAAATAATTTCGAGATTTTTTGGTCAATATTGATGCTAATATTTGATGCTACGAAGTGGAAATAGAGATTTCTTTTCTTAAGTGACTTATAGTGAAATTTGATGCAGAATATTTTTGGATTTGACATCTTCTGCCTAAAATGAAATTCTAGGTTACTTTCAGGCTCTAAATCAAAAAAAGTCCGAGAAAAAATGTTCCAAAAAATTTAAGAAATATTTTCGGGATTTTTTTGGGCAATATTGATGCCACAATTGATTGCCAAATTGAGATTTATTTTCTTTGAAGACTTATAATGAAATTTGATGAGGAATATTTTTGTCTTTGGTGTCTTTCTTCTAAAACGAAATTTAATGTTACTTTCAGGCCATAACTCAAAAAAAGTGAAGAAATTGTTAAAAAAAAAAATATTTTTGGTTTTTTTTGAATATTGGTGCAAATATTTTTTATTCCATATGCATTGGAAATACAGATTTCTTTTCTGTGGTGAGTTATAGTGAAATTTGATTAGGAATATTTTGTCTTTGACTCCTTCTACATAGAACGAACTTTTATGTTAGTTTCAGGCATCAAATCGAAAAAAAAGAGAAAAAATTGTTCCAAAAAATTTGGAAATATTTTCGTTATTTTTTTTTGCAATGAAGTGGGAATAGAGATATCCTTTCTTTGGTGACTTATAGTGAAATTTAGTGAAGAATATTTTTGCCTCTGATATAATTCCTCTAAAACGAACTGTTATGCTACTTTCAGGCGTTAACTCGACAAAAGTCCGTAAAAAAATTGCTCGAAAAAATTAGCAAATATTTTGGTTTTTTTTTTTGGGAACATTGATGGAAATATTTATATGTTATGAAGTGGAGATAGCGATTTCTTTGCTGTGGTGACTTATAGTGAAATTTAATGCAGAATATTTCTGTCTTTGATACCTTTGACCTAAAACGAAATTGTATGTTATTTCTAGGCTCCAACTCGAAAAAAGTCGGAGGAAATTTGTTTGGAAAAAATTAAGAAATTTTTTCGGCTTTTTTTTTTTTTGGGAACATTGATTGTACTATTTTTGGAAATACAGTGGAAATATAGATTTCCTTTCTTCGGTGACTTTTAGTGAAATTTGGTGAAGAATATTTTTGTCCCTAACGCTTTTCACCTTAAACAAAATTTTATGCTACTTTCAGGCCTCAATTCAAAAAAAAAAGGCCCAAGAAAAAAATGCTTAAAAAAACTAGCAACAATTTTCGGTTTTTTTGGAATATATTTATTATATAAGCCTTGGAAATAGAGATTTCCTTTCTTCGGCAACTTATAGCGAAATTTGATGAGGAATACTGCTCTCTTTTACGTTATACTTCTAAAATCATGCGTTTTTGGAAATTTTGGCATAAACTCGTGGGAGTAGGATTTAACCCTAAAATTAGTTTTTAATATATATGAATTCCTATCGTTTAGGTAAGATTTAGACTTTTGATGTCTTCTGGGACCTATAGATTTCATGACAGATAATTTTGTAGGATATTTTGACTAGCTACGATGCCATTTAAAGGGATTTTTTGTGATTTTTTCAAAATAGAACCAAAAAGTCCCCTTAATTGACTCGCTTGAGGAATAAAATGTTCTACAAAAATAAGCCTCGTATTGTTATCTATAATATTGTCAAAGACGATATATACCTAAAATAAACGGATTCCAAAGAATCCGAAAATCCCGAAAAAAAACATATTTTGAAAGAGGGACCAAAAAGACCCCTTTGGCGACTCGTTTGAGGTTTAAAATATTCTACAAAAATAATTCTCACATGGTAAACGGCAATTTTACTTCAGACCTTATTTACCTAAAATCAGCGGATTTAAAGGAATATGTAGTCCAGAAATGTCAAGAAATCTTATTTTGAAAGGAGGACCAAAAAAGACTCCTTTGTGAGCTCGCTTGAAGGTTAAAACATTCTAAAAATTAAAGCTTGTATTGTTATCTGCAATATTGCTTAAGACTTTATATATCTAAAATCAACGGATTTTAAGGAATCTAAATCCAAACATTCCAAAAAAAAATATATATTTTGAAAGAAGGGTCCAAAAGACCCATTTCTTGACCCGCTTGAAGGTTAAAATTGTTGACCCAAAGATTCTTCATATTCTTTTCTCAAATATTGCCAAAGGCATCATATACCTAAAATCTACTGATTCTGTGGAATTCTTATCCGAATATTCCTAAAAGTGTGGAAGAGGGAGCAATTTGTCCCTTTATTTTAGGTTACTTGGCATTTTAAACTTAAAAAAACGCCAATACATGTGTTCTATTTTTTTTCTACTTGCATAATTTGCTGGAATTATAAATTTCCATTTTTTTCTGAATTTTTGTTCGCAAATTTATTTTTATTTTTTTCAGTGGAAATATATTTTCCCTTATATTTTAAGATTTTTCCAAAAACATTTCCCTCGATAAAAATATTCATCAAAATTTCCCAAATTTTGAATTTAAGTTTTTTATTTATTTATTTATTTATTTATTTATTTTTATTTTTTTTTTATTTTTTTTATTTAATTCCTAAATTTTATTTTTTTTTTTCTTAAAATTTGTAACCCCAAAATTTATTATCTACTTTCCCTTATATTTTCATTTTTTTTCCAACAATTTTTTTCTCCACTAAAAAAAAAATTCATCAAATTCCCCCAATTAGATTTTCCAAAATCTATTGGCCCCCCAATAAATTAAGCCTATCCTCTCAAAGGTGTTTTGTTTTTTTGTTTTTGCAATATGAGTGTGTGTATATGTATGTATGTATGTGTGTTTGGGTAAGAGTACTTACCGTTGAATTAATATCCGGAGAGAGTAAACAGCTGATTGATTGGTAAACAAAACAGCTGTTTGATAGCTTGCTCTGGAAAAAAGCAAGGGGCTGAGGCGGCGAAGGTGTTTAATAAAATTTCCAAATGATTAAAATTTATTATATCTTTTGTTGTTGTTGTGAGGAGATGCAATAATTTTTGCTTTGATGTAGTATTAATAAAAAAATAATAACAATTAAATAATGAAATGCACACGCACGCACACACAGATACACAAATTGTAGGCACTTTTGTATATATATATTTTATATATAATATATTCACATGGAGATAAAGATGAAGTAAATTATATAAGTTTTTGCAGTTTTTTATATTTTTTTTTTCAATATTATTTTTTTTAATATTTTCATTAATAAAAAAATAAGGCCAAGCCGGTTTGGTTTTTGTTGTTCTTCTTTTTTTCTTATATTTTAAACATTTGTATCGTTGTTGTTGTTATTTTTCATAGCTTTTGTTGTTGTTGTTTTTCTTTCAATAAGGGCACTGTGGTTAACATTGTTGTTTTTTTGTTTTAAATTTTATAACATTTTTTGTTGTTGGTTTTTTTGTGTAAAAATTGCACTTGGTGTTTCCGGGGAGAGGGGGGAGTATTTGGTTTTTTGTAATTTCCCTTTAATCCCTGTTTTTGTATTTTTTTTTTTGAAATATTTTTTAGGCACTTTTTCAATTTTGTTATTAAATTTTTTCTTAAATTGGTATTTTTATTTCAAAAAATCTCCCTTCTCTGAGAAGACTTTTCGGGGGACTTTAAGGACTACAGCATGACCATTTTCATTTTTTTTTTTTGTATATTGCACAGATTTTTTTTCTAAGGAAAACTCGATTGCTATGGCAACACTTCCAATTGGAGTTTTAATAACAGGCCATTGGTCAAGAGGTCACTGGATTTCTAAGAATTTTATTTCTTCTTTCTTTTGATTTTTTTCTCTTTTTCAAAACATAGATTCTATTAATTCCATTTATTTGTGGGACTTTCAAATCGTTTGCTTTATTTGTTTTGTAATTTTCAAATATTCCAAGTTTAGCGCTAGCACGAGTGTTGCTTACGCGACGATTTCAGCTTTTTAAATAAACGCTTAAAATCAAACTGAGCGTTCGACGTTAACACTTGCGAAAAAATACGAACGAACAATGTTCATACAGCTGACACACACACACACACACACATCCATGCATAGAGACAACAGCAACAAAAACAATGCGCTGCTCTTCTTGTTCTATCTACCGGATTCGGATTCTAATACATTGTAAATACCCAACACACCAGGGATGGGGTAGGGGGGTCGGGGTTTTTTTTTGGGAAGAACTGAAAGCGTTTGTTATGAGTGTGATGAGTCTTGCTTGCTTGCTTTTGCTCTACGTTTGCTCACTTGGGCGTCCGAATATCTAATGAAAATCCACAGAGAATTAACAGCACGAAACGGCCGGCCACACACACACTCAGAACTCAGTTGAAATTGTAATGAGAACGAACGCCAACAACTCTAACGAAAGTCAAATGATATATCATTTCATTCGTTTCATTTACGAGGGGGCGTTTGAGAGGTTAGGCCAATATATTCCCACACACAATGGCTAGCACTCTCTCTCTCTCTCTCTCTCTCTTTTTTTTCAAACTCTCTTGGTTTTTCTAACAAAAAAAAATTGTTTTTATTTTTTTTTTATTTTCAAAGTATCCAAAAAGTTTGTTTTTTTTTCTCCTTCACGAGTTCAAGTGTTTATGTTTTTTTTATTGTTGTTTTTGTTTTACTCTCTACTTCTAGCACACATGGCTGGCTGGCTGGCTGGCTGTCTCTCGGGGAGGGCTCTATGTAGTACGTACGACCATGGCTACAACTTAAAAAGAACTGACTTGTAGCAAAAAGTGAACAACAGCAAAACTTGACAACAAACAAACGAATAAACGACCTACCGACCGACCTACAGACCGAACGACCACCAACGAGACATACATCGAAACATTGTGCGTATTTGTTCTCATATCAAAACAAAAACATTCACACACAATGGCAAAAGGCGCATACTCCACCAAAAGAAGAAGCAAAAAAAAAAACACCAAACCAAAACACAACACAGCACAGAGAGCATGGCAGAGAGAGAGAGAGAGAGCTCACACAAAAGCCACCCATTAACCGTAAAATATTGTATGCCATACATTTTGTGTGAGATGGAGAGCAAAACAACAACACCACCACCACCGACAAGTCAAAGACTTAATAACTTTGTTTTCTTTTGGAAAATAAAACACAACACACAAATTAAACGAGGGAGGAAATGTGAACGGAAATCACACACACACACATAGACATTAACAAAGTAAAACTTCGTTCGTTTGCAATTGAAACACACCACACTTTTAGGGGTAAAGTTAACAGTAATTCTTTCATTATAATTTTCAGTGGTGGCAAAGCGGCAAAACCACCACCATTGGGCAAGCCACAGACACACAGCCACTTGTCTCCCGCTCTCTCTCTCTCATACTATTTCTAATTGTATTCTTATAACAGAATAAAACACAGCATTTGAGACATAATTCTCAGCCTTAGGGTTACATTAACGGCGCAAACGTGAAAGTTAACTGGCGATACCCTACAGTAAGGGTTCAATGGAGGGTTTTTGGCAAATGTGTAAATAATAAGAAATAAAAATAATTTAAAAAAATATATATATTTTGAAAAAAAAAAAAAAAAACAAATCACAGAAATATTAAAAACCAAGAAGACATAAATTTAAAAAGGAGAAAAAAAAAAGAATTTGGAATTTGTAAACAATAGAAAATAAAAATAATTTAAAAAAATATATATTTTGAAAAAAAGCAAATCACAGAAATATTAAAAACCAAGATCACATAAATATAAAAAGGAGAAACAAAAAAGAATTTGGAAAGAAAGGGAAAATAAAAAAATCACATAAATATTAAAACTCAAGAACATAAAAATATAAAAAGCCGAAAAAAGGATTTGGAAGGAAATCCAAAATAAAAAGCCACATTAATATTAAAAGAATAAGAACAGAAAAATATAAAAAATATGAAAAAAGCATTTGGAAGAAGCGTTGAAAAATTCAGAATATCTGAGGGTACACTGATATGGGGCCTATGCAAAAACGCGTACCCTCACAGCCAATTATCTGCCATAGAAAGTGGTGCCTACCACTAACATAAAATGCCAAGTTTGAGATAATTCGGTTAAAAAATAGTATCTAAAATCCTCAAAAATATCGAATATTGGGAGGTACCGTTATATGGGGGCTATAATAATTAGTGGAAAGTAATCGGATGCTGCTTTCGCATTTTATGCGAGTTATTACTCAACAATTTCGACCAGTTGTGGGCGGAGGTAGCAGAAGGAGTAGACCTATATCACCATCCATACCATCTTCACACCAGACCTTGTGTTGCAAGAAATATTGGATTGTGTGAAAGTTGAAGAGGAGCCAATGCTTTCTTCCGTATTTTATGAGAGTTATAATTTTTCAAAAATTTTGACCTCTTTGTGGGGGAGGTACTAGAAGGAGTAGAACAATATCCACCATCTTCACACCAGATTTTTTGTCAATAAAAATATTGCTATATGCGAAATCTCGAAAAGAATCTGAGGCCTATTTTCCGTTTTATGAGCATTTTCGTTATTCAAAATATTGACCCCTTTGTGGGGCAGCTACCAGAAGTTGTGGGCCAATATCTACCATCTTCACACTAAATCTTGTCGTAGTAGAAATATTGGAATATGCGGAGTTTAGAAAGAAGCGGATGAATTTTTCGCATTTAATGAGAGTTATAATTTTTCAAAAAATTAGACCCTTTGTGGGGCAGGTACCAGAAGTGGTGGGCCGATATCTACCATCTTCACACCAAATCTTGTAGTAGTAAAAAAATTGGAATGTGTGGAGTTTTGAAAGAATCGGATGCATTTTTCGCATTTTATGAGAGGTACAATTTTTCAAAACCTTAGACCCTTTGTGGGACAGCTACCAGAAGTGATGAGCCGATTACTACGATCTTTACAGCAGATATTGTGTTAGTAGAAATAATGGCATGTGTGGAGTTTCGAAAGAATCGGATGCTTATTTCGCATATTATGAACATTTTGGATATTCAAAATTTTGACCCCTGGAGGAACCATTATATGGAAACTATACCAATTAGTGGACCCATAGCTAATATTTTTTGCAGGTGGAGAACAGAGCTACTTTGAATCTCAATTGTCAAGTTTCAGCTGATTTGGTTCGAAATTATGGCCGAAATCTTCAAAACACTAAAAATCGGGAGGTACCGTTTCAATACCAATTTGTGCACCTGTAGCGAATATTTTTTGCAGGGAGAGAATAGTCCTACCGAGAACCCCAAATGTCGAGTTTCATTTTATTTGGTAAGAAATTGTGGCAGAATCTTTCAAAATATCGAAAATCGGGAGACCCCATTATATGGGGCCTGTACCAATAAGTGGACTCGTAGCGAATATTTTATGCAGGGGGAGAATAGACCTATCAAGAACTTCAATTGTCAAGTTTCAGCCAATTTGGTTGTAAATTGTGGCAGAATCCTTCAAATAACCGAAAATCAGAGCTTTCGTTATATGGGGACTATACCAATCAGTAGACCCATAGCAGGAAGAGAACAGACTTACCGATAACCCTAATCTTCAGCTAATGTTGTTGGAAATCGTGGCTAAAACTTTCAAAATACCGAAAATCGGAAGGTACCGTTATATGGGGGCTATACTAATTAGTGAACCTGAATCGAACATTTTTTTCAGAGAGAGAACAGACCTACCGAGAACACCAATTGTCAAGTTTCAGCTAAATTCGTTGGAAATTGTGGCAGAAATCTTAAAAATACTGAAAATCGTGAGGTACCGTTATATAAGGACTATACCAATTAGTAGACCCACAGCGAATATTTTTCGCAGGAAGAGAACCCTAAATGTTAAGTTTCAGCTAATTTGGTTGGAAACTGTTGCAGAAACGCTTCAAAATACCGAAAATCGGGACGTACCGTTGCATGAGGCCTATACCAATTAGTGGACCTATAGCGAATATTTTTCCCGAGTATAGAACAGACCTACCGAGAATCCCAATTCCCAAGTTTCAGTTAATTTGTTTAGAAACAATGGTAGAAGCCTTCAAAATACCGAAAATCGCGAGGTATATGGGGGTTATACGCAAATGTGGGCCAATGTAGCCCATTTTCATTACCAAAAATGCTGCAGATCTAAAACTCGTCTGAAGAAAATTTTATCAACCTACTTCATTTTGTTCGGAAGCAATGGTTGTGTCTACACACGGACGGACAGACAGATACACGAACGGACTTCACTAAATCGATCTAGAATTTTATGTTGATCAGGAACATATATACCTTATGGGTTCTAAAATTTATATTTCCATCTGTCACCAACTGAATGACAAACATAATATAACCTCCATACTACGGTGAAGGGTATAAAAAAATACCTATAATCGCAATAATAGTTTTGACAAAATATTGATAAAGTAATAATCGAATTAAAATAATATCCCTTTAAAACATACCCATCATTACCCCATTAAATAAATCCCTTAAATCCCTTCTTTTCCATAATTTGTTTTCCATTCTCGCAATTCCTTCTCTCAACAGGGTGTTATGAATTCAATAGAACATCTCCCCTTTATAACATCAACACTTTTGGCAACTACACAAACATGCATGCATGTGTTTTACCCCATACAATAACAAAACAACACACGCCGTTTCCGTTCGTGTGTCCAACCCACAAATGGTTAGAGCTCGGCTTTTGTGGTTACTCTGTTAATTCTTTGCAAAGTTATTTTGTAACTCTGGCTCTTCGTTTTCTTCTCCCCCGATAATGAGAAAAACAAGCCCAAACAGTAAAAGAGAGAGCAGCCAAAGAGACACACCGATATTCTTCAAATGAAATATTAAATAACAACAATGCACACACACACAGTACCACAGAGACTGGTATCCACACTTCGTTTGTTGTGGGGGAGCCAAACGACCACTGCAAAAAAAAAAAAACGAGAGTCGTGTATTGGTGTGTAGTTATGTCGACTATATTTTGCTATTTGGGTAGCCCACTCTGACTGCTCTCCAAAGTAAACACGACTCTCCCCCTTCATTATATGATATGCCATGGCTGATTCGTGTGTTTATGTTTTCGTGTTGTTATGAGAAGGTGTATGCTGTTGTTGTTGATGAGATTTTGGAGCAGAGATAAGGGAAAAACACAACTAATGCCGGTAAATTCTCCTTTTTCTCTGTGCCCAATGAGAGAATAAGAAACAATTGTATCTTTTTGGTGAATGCATTATCAGGGGGGGATAAGTGGCAAATGTGGGGATATATTTGAATTCTGTTGATTTTTTTGCATTAACTTAGAATGTATTTGTTGTTGTTGTTGTTGTTAGCTGAGTGTTTTTGGATTTGGCAATTCTGTTGTTTGCTGAAGTTGAAGGTCACCAAATTCGTGTTGCCGTTGCTGCTGCTGCGGTTCCTTGCTGACTTGTTTCGGGATCCCATTGTTCATTGTTGGCCATGTTGCGCCTGCGCTTTTATGCATTCCCCCGAACAAGACAAAACAGAAAGCAATAACAACACAAATGTTAGTCATCCACACAGTCATTTATCAAATGCATAGCAGCTCTTGGGGATGTGTGGCTGGCTGGGTGAGTGTGTGTTTGTGACTGAGTGATTCTTGTGTGTTGTGCGCAGGAGGTGACCTTGAATATCTTGAGTGTGTTTGTTTTGACTTTTCGGTGTTGTTTTTTTGGCAGCCAAAAAAAAAAAAAAAAAGAAAATGAAAAACAAAAAAAGACTCATGCATAAAATTTGGTTTTTATCTTTGTTTTTTTTCAAAGAAAATAAGAAAACAAAAAAATATTACTTTGTCGTGTAATCAAAAGTGCTGAAGATGTACAAAGTCTGGATGTTTTGCCGGCAGCTGGCAAGTGAGTTAAATTTTGGAATTGAGCAGAAATAAAGCACGTAAGAACGTCGTAGCTTGCTATCACAC